CCCAGTGACCCCTGCATCAACATGTCCAAACTCACAGCGATACTGAACAGTTCTCCACCTGCTCCATCCCCCTCATCCCACCCCCACTGCTACCACCCAAATCCAGGCCCTCTGCTTTTTCAGCCTGGACTTTCTCACCAGCCTCCTGCTTCCAATTCTCTCAACTTTCTGATCCATTCCATGCCGCCACAAATACCTCCCTAAAATGACCTGAGGTTTGTTTTTGTTTGCTTGCTTATCTGAATTTTCGAAACTTCCTAAGAAGAATATGTATTACTTGAATATATTTTTTTTAATCCATGAGTAAGGTCAGATCGCTCCTCTCCTGAAAATCTTTCAGTGACTCTTCATTACTCACAGGATAAAGCACAAACTCTCAAGCCGACATTCAAAGGCTTCTGCAACTGGGTCTACACTTTTCAGCTCCCTTCCCACGCTGAGCCCTCTATGTTCTCCCAGTTCAGCCATGTTGTACAGTCGGTTGTGCAGTTGTACACTCTCAGGCCTTTCTTAAACTGTTCCCCTGGCTGAGGAGAGCTGTCTTTGTCTTCTCCGCCCATCGAGAGCTTACTTATCCTCAAAAATCAGACCAAATGCTGTCTTCTCTCTAAAATTTTCCTTGATCACTAATTTTGTTGGTCCTCCTTCTATGCTCAAATTATTCTGTGTCACCATTTGCCTTGTAGTACTGTTACTTGTGAAAATATGTCTCCATCAACACCGCCTAACCCAGGCTGTCAGATCCAACGGCATGGCCAGTGTTTCATATCCCTAATAGGGCTTAGCACAGTGCCTGACTCGACAATCAAATGCTAAAAACAAAATTTAAAGGATGGGGGCTGAGGAAAATGGACTGGGTTAATCCTGGGAGGGCTTCCTGAAAGAGGTGGCCTTAAACCAACACCCTAAAGAGCAGGACATGAGAGAGAAGGGAGGGAAGAAGGAAGCTGTCCTAAATCTGGGATCAGCCAAAAAAAAGACTGAAGCAGACCAGGTGGTAATCCTCACAGCAAGGTCTGCCATTTACAGTTTGCTGAGAACCCATTAGGACCCAAGAACTCTACTAAATGTTTTGCATTTATTACCTCCTTTGACCCCCTTATCAGGCAGGTGCATTTATTCCCATTTTGCTGATAAGAACAGACATTTAGGAAGTAAGGTGTCTTAGCTAGAAAGTGGTAGAGCTAGGATTAGAACCAGATCTGTTATACCCCAAAGCTAGTACTCTGAACTACTCTGAACCAGACTGGAGAGGACAGGGGACCAAGGAGCACCAGGGTAAGCAGAGACAGAGGTGGGTGGGACACTGGGAGCCAGGGAATTGAAGCTGAGTAAGGCTCATGAGGAGGAGCATGGGGAAGAATACGACCCCTGGGTTCCAGCGGCTGAGCTCCAGTTTCCTAGGGGCCAAGGTGGGTATGGGTAGGAGGGAACAGAAGTTCAATACTGCTGACCCCTCCCAAACTACCTGGAGCAAATACCCAACAGGATCTCAAAGGGATGGGATCAGCTGATCTAAGGCTCCCTGAGGCAGTCTCTCTAGAAAGAAAGAGGAAGAGGCCAGAGAAATGCCAGCCCCCAACCCCAGTGCAGTACAGTACAGAAGGAACAAGGGGCTTTGGGGACAGACAGGCCTAGGTCCTAATTCTGACTCTGCAGCTTATAAGATGAGAGGTTTGAGGCAAATCTGTAGCTTCTCTGAGCCCTTGTATATCAAATGGGGATAAGAGTGCTGGACTTAGGAGACCGTCCTAAAGTCAGCTTGAGATATCCCAAGGAAGACTCCTGGTACACACCCACGTGCTGGGGAAATGCTAGTTTTCTTCCTTCCTTGCATCTGCCTCACATCTGTTAGTGGATGCATTTGTAAGGCAGAGCAGCTCAGGGAGAGAAGCAAGGGATCTGAACTCAGGGGGCAGTTCAGCAGCTCTCCACTTACCCCCAAACACAGGCTAGACATAATGCACCCAACTCACCACTTTTTGACACACTTCCCAGATCTCACTGCCCTCACCTCCCATCCATTACCACAGTCAGGCAAACTGCACAAGCATGCATGTGTGTGCATGGACATGCAAGTCTCAGCCATGAGCATGTAAGCCACCTGAGCCATCATCCCATTCTCCTCCCTGACATCTTCCTAACTCTTATTTAACACAAGTCTCCTCCCAACTTTACTCCCCACACTCACACACACATCCCTGCCCCACCACCCTCTTCTGCTCTGGCTGAGATCAGGAGAAATCACAGCATCTGGAGCTCCAGGACTGGGCAGGATACAATACCCAATCCCTTTGCTTTATGGCTCAGTGGAGCCAGGGTCAAGCCAAGGCTGGAACCTGGGTGATGTCTTTCTAGGACCCCTGGTTGGCTCTAATCTTCAGATCTCAGGTTTTTGTATTGGAAGTTTTGTCCCAAAACTTCCATCCAACAGAGAGCTCTACCAGGGCAGGAGCAAGCCTCTTCAGCCTCCTCCTCCTCCATCTCCACCTTTTACTTCCCTGCCCAGCCAGTGCTGAGGTCCAAATGCGAGCCCAATCCACTTTCCACGGGAAGACTCCGGGGTGG